CCTACTAGAAAAGAAGTAAAATGTATGCTCAGTAAAAAATCTCTGCACATGTAGTATTGCCAAAGGACTTTTGAAATGATTAGAGATTGGCTATTTCTTACATACACCTACCACTAATAACCACTTAAGTGGCTATTAGAAGATTGTAGAGTCATATGAACGAAGAAAAAAAATTAAATCACAAAAGAGCAGAATTGTAAATCAGGATGCATTGGAAAATAAATTAATTTGAGGACAACAGGTCAGTTTTGGATTTTAGAGAGAGATCAATATCAAGAAAAGTTTATTTATCCTGCAGAACAACCAGTAGTTTGAGTAGGATCTGCTATAACCTTATTAGAAGATTTTCTTGATAATAGATTGTAATATACCAATTGTTTCAAATGAAATTGAAAAAGAGTTAAATTCGAAATTAGATTTTTCATGGGTAAAATGTTTCATTCAAACATCGTAATGTAATCTATAAGGGAGTATAGAAAATAGGTATACCCTGGTGGTGTAAGAGACAGGTAAGGGACAACGACAAAAAATTTCCAAAAATGTATTCATCTTTAAATAGTGTTTATTATTAATATTATTATTTGCTATGTTTGAAAAGTACCTCCTGCTGCAGAGCAGATCGAATAGATTAGACGACTAGTTGGAGAAGGTCCACCTAGTCACCAAATTAGGAGACTAGGAAAACTTTTACATGACTGGGAACACAACAGGAATGCACACGCACAAGATACACAAACAGACGAAAACAGGGGTAAACCTTCAGCAACGTCCTGTTTAAATGATGATAGTGTATTATCCTTCATTCCCTTTTAGAAGGCATGGCATATAAATCTTTTGATCTTGATGACCCTAAGAAGAATTAACAGGGGGTGGAGAGAATGGGTCTAGCAGGTTTCGATCCAGTTAACAGGATGGGAACTTACTCGACTCGGGCCTTATACATTTGTGTGAGTGTATGTGTGTGTGTTTGTTTCGTTTCCATGGTTTCTATTAAAATAAACAGTCATAACATATCGATACCTTTTTGTCAGACTAACGTAAGCGACATTTGTTCAAATGGCACTTATGATAGTCTGGCAAAAAGGTATCGATATACTCTATACTTTATAAAATATTTGTTACATTATTTTTTAAATATATTATGAATATATAACAACTGTGACTTTCTTTGTAATTTGTCACAAAATGATTCGAGGTACTTTCTAAGCGTAGCAATTGTAGTTTGTTTTTCTGTACCTTACAAAAATATGATTTATAGAAAAATAGTTTGGTGTATTATTTTTCCAAGTTTAAATATTTAATAGTCAATAGAATTTTTAAGTTTTTTTAGCGAAATTTACAAGAGCAATAAAAACTATGTTCACTGCTTATCTTAAACTGATTAAAACTTCCTTTATTAAAACGATTATTTATATGATAAAAAATTTGATGTTATTGGAAGCTTTTACATTTTTTAATATACAGCAAAACAATAGTTTTAGTTTTTTTTTAAATTTTCCCGCTATTTACTAGTGGCACCATCATAGACTGGTTGTGGTTACAATCGCCCAAACAACTTTTACCGAACAAAAAAAATACATTGAGTTACACGTCTCGCTGGGTTGTCTCTGATAATAATAATAATATAATCAAGGCTAAAACAATAACATAATAGACCAAAAAAATAAAAAAATAGGTACAATAAAAAAATGATAAACTCCAATAATTTTTGACTTGGAGGTAAACTGCAGTCATTCTAATCAACTTTTTAGTAGAGCAAACTGAATGTTGTTTGGACACTTTTGTGTTCCATATTTACATATATCAATTATATATCGACAAGAAATGCAGTTAGCCCCAATTTTTGTCACAATGTGTATTGTTTACTAATAATCTAACTATTAAAACTTACATGACTTATTAGTTTTGGTAACATATTTCTATGTTATGATAACAATTTTTCTATGATATAGTGTCATATATCTCCAACATGCCTCTACAAATAGTACGACATAGTTCAGTTTACATCCTAGGTACTGATATCGGTAAATATTTAATTAAATCTTCATGATATAGGTACATACCTAACATAGACACAACTTCTTAGTTTCTTAAATTAATTTAGCCAAGTGCAATATTTATTTTTTTATATCGTCTTTAAAAAAAACATGTAAGTTCAGCTTCCATGTTTTTGTAAATGCATTTGCGACACCATCATTCGAGTTAACTCCTCACTGCTACATCAGTCTGACACTGTATATCAGTACCTCTAGCATTTATAGATAGATATAATTTTATAACTTCAAATTCATTAATTATAGCCCACATCGCAACGTTGCCATTTTTTATGTATGTGGTTAGGAAGATTAAAGACGGTTGTGGCTGAGCTCTTACGTGATCAGCTCAAAAATGGTCTGGAAACGTCTAGAAAAACTAAATGAGCTAAGCCAGGAAAATACAGTTAGTCTTACTTGGGTCCCGGGATATAACGGGCTAAATGGTAACGAGATTGCGTATAGTCTCCCAAGGAATCGAGCTTAAACTCCCTGTGTGGGAGCAGTAACACAATATTACACACAATATTAGAAGGCATTAAAAAGATAATCGATAATTGGAACAATTAACCTTGGGGTTAAGACAGGCTAAGATATTTCTGGGAGAATATAACCAGAAAAAATCGGAAGCTTGTATAAGCCTGAGCAAGAACAGGGATCCTTACCGGGAATTTTGGTATTATCAGTTAAGTTTTTTTTTGTTTTTGATTATTTTTTTAATTGTTTTTAGGTCTTTGCAATTTTTCTGTCATACTAATTGCATAATTTCTGGTATAACGTGTGTAATTGGCTACTCGATTTTAAATTCGACTTACTTTCTAAGTGAACTCGAAAGTATTCTAAATTGCTGATATAAGCTTTTGAAGGTAATATTTAATAAAGACCTACGGTATTTGGTGACAACATTTTCAGACTGGCTGATTCTCGTTTCTATTTAATTTTTATTATCAATAGACAGAAGTATGGGAATTTATTCGTAGTACCTAAGTTGTACAATAATTGACTAGTAATCCTGTCCTAATTGCTTTATTTTTGGCCCAAACTAATTTTTGTCTCAATTTATCATTCTGGTCTTATTTGGAATGTCAGAATCTTCACGATAGGCGCGTTCGTTATTATTTGCAGTCCGTCGTGTTCAGAGTATTTAGTGCGTGGTAGGAGATTTTTTAGCGTACAGTTTTTGTATTGATTTTTGACAGGAGATCAATTCTCAATATTGTTTTATTGTAGATAGCTATAGTTTTGTCGGATTCTTTGTATAACTTAGTTACTACGATTAAATTTCCATACCAATCCAGAATTTAAAGTCGAGTATTTCGAACTGCTAAATATGCACGTTACACTGGCGGAGAATTTTTGAAAATTTACTTCTGATTACCTGAACTTTAAAACGTTCGAAATTAGAAACAGTACAAACCGAAAAATTGCGTCAGATCTAATGTTACTGTCAAACATGATAGTTAAAGCAAACCGCTAAATGATGTAGAACCGGCCCTGTAGCTCGAATAAAAGTTGCGAATAAATGAGGGTGTCACGTTACCCAACACTTTCAAGTTTTAAGAATAACCTCCTGCTCGCCTAATTTCGTTTCATCTCAAATTAATTGTTGTTTGCAATTATATCCTCGGGGATGCCCTATGATACGGTTAGTGGAGAGTTCCCCCTTTTTTCCATATAAAATTTTCACGCTGCAAAGTTCGCAACCGGAGATGCTTACATGAATTTTCAAAGAGGGCCAGTCTTAAGGTGGTAGTTACGACCTTACGGCGTTAATTTTGAATTAGCATAGGCAAAAAGAGCAAAAGTGTCTGGCGACGTTATTTTCTATTCCTTTGTATAGGTAGGTATTTAATTTTATTACATCGGTGTATGTGCATCATGTTAAGTTTAGTTTGTTAGTGGTAGTCTTAGTGTTAGTGGCTTGTTACAGTTACAGTGACGTGCTCAATGGAGAGTCTTTTAAATAAGGAATATTCATGGAATTTCATATAGGGTTTTTTTTCTTGCAAAGAAACGGACTCAAACACCCTTTGTGACACATAAGCTATTCGGCATCTTTGGAATCAATGATGATTTATTGACTATAATTTTGTTATTATACAGTTCGCATGAAGAAAATAAATATTTCAGTTATGCAATACAGTCAAAAGACGAACTTCAAATACCAGAGTGTCTTAAAATCAGAATTGTAGAAGAAAAATAGGTAAGAATGCAGAAGAAAAAACGACGAAGCATTTCTCACAGAGAAGAATATATCATAAGAATACTAGAAAAAATACACTAAATTCAGAAAGTTTTCATAGATATGTAATTATTGTTTATTGGGAAAGTTACAAAGTGCTTGAAATGCGAAAGATAAGGTGACAGATGAAGAGTTACGGTTTCCAGTGCATTTTTTGCAAAGAAAGATGTAAATTATTACAATTGTCCCAGAAAAAATTACACTAAATTGAGAAATTTTCCGTCATATACGAGTTAGAGATGGTCGATACCTTGTTTTTAGAATCACCGGGATACCGGTGCCGGTGATTTGAAAATCACGGTGATTCTTAGCAGTGATCGGTGATTTTACGATATTTCAATAAACTTTGATACTGATAAATTCCGATCGACTGTGAATGTTAGAAAACAGCGATTTAAAAATTGAAAGCGTGCAAGTCGATGAAAAATATTTCTGATACAATATAAAATATTGATTTTTAAGTCAGCTATTGTTTTTATAAAAGCGAAATTTAATTAGAGCATCTTTTTTTAGTATTGTAAATGTTTTTTTTTTTTTAGTATCGATCCAAAATATTTAAAAAATGTGGCAGGTTTAATTAGGTACGTTGTAGTTTAAAAACACGTTCAATTATACCTATATATATTCATTTTCTAAAAGTAAAAACAAAAAAAATATTAACTAATTAAACAAAAACGTAATATATTTTCCAAGAAAATTAACATTGAATTATAAAACTAAAAATAAAAAAATGATTCAACAAAAAAACTATTGAACATATTTTAGCAAAAAAACTACTTCTTTAAATGACACAAATTAACGTTCAAAAATGGAAGTTGTCTTTATTTGGATTAAGACGACTACGTCGTTCCGTAATTATCAACCCGGCCTTTGAAAAAAGCCTTTCACACGGAACAGACGTAGCTTCTTCGAGATATCGTTGAACTTCAATATTAGCTCGAGAGTTTGAAGTGCCACTTTTCTGTATGTTACTATTTGTTGTTAAAATACTCCACACTGAGATTTCATCTTCGCCATCTTCTTCAGATATATTTTGTTCTTTTTGCTTTTGCTCCTCTGTTTGTTGTTTTGTAGTATCTAATTTTTCTAAATTTTTTTGTGTTATTTTGGAAGTTGCGGCTGCTATAACAAGCTTTTTTGCATTATCTGCACTTTGCAGGTTTTTAAATCCAGCCATTTTAAACCGTGGATAGAGAAAAGTTGAAACGGCTAATGTATTATTCAATTCTAAATTGTCACACCTAATATGTAACTGGCTTTCCAAATTCAAAATTACTTGATGTATCGGGTTCTCCTTCTCGATATGCTTCGTTTTTCATTTTTCACATACTTCAAAAAGTCCATTTACCAACGGAATTACGCATGAAGCAGTGGCATAATTTTCACCACTTACAATTTTCGTGATTTTTTCTAACGGTTTAAGAACTTGTTCTAGATGCTTACATATTTCCATTCTTCTCCAGACAAAATAGGAATATCCTTATTTAAAATTGCTATGGTACTCTTGAGTGCATTTTCTAACAGCAAAAAACGTTCTAACATATAGTAAGTGGAGTTCCACCTAGTGGCAACATCTTGCAGAACTTTTAAAGGTGCATTACCCATATTTTCTTGGTATTTCATTATATGTTCGTTTGCCAAAGCACTTCTCTTAAAATGAGCGACTACTTTCCTAACTTTAGCTAGTAGGGATAAAATCTCTGGGATATCTAAACTATGATTAACTATTAAATTCAACGTGTGAGCGAAACAACCAAAATGTTTTAAATTTAATTCGTTCATAATTGCACCTTTTATATTAGAAGCATTGTCAGAAACTATCAATAAAATTTTGTCAGTTATTTCCCACTCCCTAGCAATGTTGGATATTTCATTAGCCAAGTTTTTGCTTGTATGGTGACCTGTCATCAGTTTACATTCCAATAAAATTGTTTTTAAATCAAAATCTTCATTTACGAAGTGTGCTGTTAGACCAATATAACTCTCAGTATTCATAGACGTCCAGCAGTGTGTGGTAAGGCATATTTTTTACAGCTTTTAATTAATTCTCGACAACGTAAACTGCACTCCTCAAATAAACTTGGAATTAATGTTTTAGAAATTGTATGTCTTTCAGGATTCAGGGCCTGCACGAAATCCCTGAAACCCTTATCCTCCACAATACTGAATGGTTGATAGTCAAGTGTAAATAATTTTAAAAGATTATCATTAATTGTTTTTGTTGTAAACGCACTAATCTTTTTAGGTATATACGAAGCTATACTTGGCTGACTAACCTTAGTAACTATTTTTGAGCTAGTTGCGATTTGATTGGAATCCTTTGATCCTGAAGTATGAGGTTTAGTTGCTTCAATTTTTTTATGGCTTATTTCTGTTTCTTCCAAGGACACAGTTGGATGATTGGACTTCAAATGTTTTCTTAAATTTGAATTAGTAGTTTTAAAGGACAATTTATTTTGGCAAATGTTACATTTTGCATAATCAGTGTTGTCAATAGGGGTAAAAAAGTTCCAAATTCCACTAACCTTTGTCCTTTTTGATTTTAACATTCTCAAAACTATATTATTAATATCCAGGTAAGTGAATAATGAAGCACTCAAGCTGACGTAGTACAGAATACTAGACTAACTGCCAAAGACCGAGAACTCTCTTAAAATAAAAACTAAGTAAAAACCCTTCTATAGTAGGTAATTTCATCATATTACACGCCATCTTTACGATGCTTACCTACTCAAGTTACAGTACTACAATTTCCTGCGAAATTTAAACCCTAGCCGAGAACAGAAAACTGCAACCCAAAATAGATAAATTTTTTGCGCTTCATCGCTGTCGGTCGCTATATAAATATGATCATTGTATTTAGATGGACCCAGGCGAATTATTTAACTGGCTATGTACGTAGGTGAATAGCGCCCAAAAATTATCGGTTAACGCGTTCACAGAAGAAGCGCGTTTCACCGATCGAGTTAAAATCACTGGACCTGTTAAGAATAAAACTCAATCACCGGTAGCACCGGTGATTTTCAAATCACCGGTGAAAAGTAACCGGTATTGATATATCGACCACCTCTAATACGAGTAGATGTAATTATTATAAAAGGGTCAGACATGTTACAAAAATGCTTAAACTGCGAAAGATAAGATATCAGATGAAGAATTAGAGTTCCAAGCAACTTTTTCCGGTAAAGAAAAACATTAAAACAATAAATAAACACTTATAAATTAATGTGCAGGGTGTTTCCTAATTGCGTACATTAAATTTAATGGTGTATTTCTGAGCTGATTTCATGAAAAAAAGTCCATATAAACATGGGTGCGGAAACGCTTTGTTCTAAAGATACAGTGTTAAACTTTTTTAAAAAATAGATTTTTTTTTAAATGCCATTCAACTAATTTTTTTTGATATTGGTCAGATTTATTTTTGGTGAGAAAAGCTTGCTTTAGCCCTAACTAGGTTAAAAGTATTAGGTCCAGTGTTGTCCAGGGGGGTTTGTTTCCAATTAATTTTGTTAAAAACTGTACACTACTGACTTTTTATCACTAAAAATACATCTGCCCAACATTAAGAAAATAGAACAAAGCGTTTCCGGACCCATTTATATGTGGACTTTTTTCATTAAATTAGCTCAGGAATACACCCTAAAATTTAATGTACGCAATTATTTATGCAATACTAATTACATGAATAAAAATTTTTAAAGAACGTTAATTATAAAATGTAAAATTATTTGCAAATTTAGAATAAAGTAGCTATAATACAAGTATAATAGGTACGTGCATGTTCAAATATTTATAACAATTTAAAAATCATTGTAAAACGTACTCAAAGTAAGGAGTGATCCCCACAAAAAGTAGGCCTTGGAAAAATTCACGTATGTCGAGCGAACAATTCTTCTTCTTTTTAGTTGTCAGTTATGATCTAATTGAGAGCCGCGTTGTCGGTCTTGGCCTGCTTTAGAAACATTTTTTGTTGATCACTCTTTATAATATGCTTTTTTCGCCAAAAGATTCCCAAGCAATCCTTTAAATGTTAATTGATTGATTTTATATTTTGTTATACCTAGTGATGCCGCAAGACGAGAGATTCTCGTCTCTCGTCTCGAACGAGACGAGAGAGACATTTTCTCTCAAAGACAGATTCAAGACGAAACGAGAGAGTGTCATCTCTCAACGAGAATTTCTCGTTTCTCTCGAGCTCTCTCCGGCTCTCTCGAACAATTTTCTCTTTGCTTATTTGAAATTTTCAATTGCTTATCGTAACTTAAAATTTTAACATATTAGATTTCGAGTTAGTCAAAAAGTTAACTATAACACACCTATTCTATATTATATTAAATGGTAACAAATGATACTTGTGTTATTAGGATTTTATAAATAGTGATTTATAAGAAAAAATATTTCTCATTTCATTTATTTAAAATTTATACAATCATTTCTTATATTTAATCCATCTGCTTTTCTGAGGTTACTTTTGAAGATAAGTTGAAATTTTTTTAGCGTTTTTTCGGAAAACTGTCAAAGAAAAGGTAATAAACACAAATTAATTATATACAGTGAGGATGAAAAGTGTACCCTCCCCTATTTTAACTTCTAAATAAAAAAAGATAGTGACAAAACAAAAACGAGGTAAAACTCAAAAGATATTATATTTTTGTTATAACGAAATACACTTTACTTGAGACACGTAAAATAGAGGGAGTTACTAGCTTTAAATTTTCTAATGGAAAGTAGGGTCATGTGATACCCATTTGAAAGATATTTTCTATATTTTTAAAACAGATTTAGGTTTTCATGTTTTTACAGAAATTACATTAAATAAATTCATAAAGTAGGTTAAATTCGTTTTTTTATTTACCGCTTCAACCTCAAAGGATTATTACCGGATGTATAATACCTTATAAATGCTGTTTTTTTACAATAGTATACAATAGATAATTAACATTTTGGCTAGTACAGAGTAAATGTCAGTATCTTTTATAAATTTAAGTAATTTTTTACCGTTAGAGGGATTTAACACTGCACAAATGGCAATTTTTTGTAGCTGGTACTTTGTTCTTATACAGACATGTTCTGGGCCTCTACTCATAAGTTACATTCTTGATGACTCTCGTATTAACAATTATTGTTTATTACTAAGGAAACGCTTGTATTTACTAAAATAAATAAATTAAGAATATCAAAGGTGATTTAAGAACCACTTGACGTATTAAATTTTTCATAACTTCTTAGCAAAAAAAAGCTTAAAAAATTCTCTTCTAATATTATCTAACATTTCTAGGATTATTGCGGCACGCGAGGATTATCAAGAATGTTATTTTTGTAAAAACAAAAAAAATTAAAACTATTTGCTTGGATGTAAATATAATCAAAATATCTTTCAAACGAGGTATTACATGACTTCACTTTCCATCAGAAAATTTAAAGATAGTAACGCCCTCTATTTTACGTCTCAAGTAAAGTGCATCTCATTATAACAAAAATATCATAATGTTTATCTAATTTCACATCGTTTTTGTTTTATGTCTCTATCTTTTTGCATTTTGAAAACATACTACAAAATGCTTTCATTTGACATCGCAGGATTGCATTAGAAAAAAATATCGTGAAATTTACGCACTCGCCGCTGCGCGGCTTCGTGCGTAAACTTTTTTACTTCGTGCGTAATGGGTTACTTACAACTCTTGTTATGTACTATACTGTTTCTACGCCCACTTATTTTCTTCTATTAAAGGACATATGCTTGTGTCGCCAATCCATAAATTTTCGATAGGTAATTTCTTACCTTCCTTTGAATTTTAGCGGTAACAAATTATGTGTGGCATTTTCTAAAATCTCCGGCTCATAATTTCATCACTTTCACTACTAACAGACATATTCGTAGGTAAAGTTGAGAAAATTTTCGAATACAATAATATTTTGTTACAAAAATTGACAATATAAACGAAACGACGTTTATTTCCATAGCATGCTAAGAAAACGCGACTTAGTTTTTAAAATTGTATAATGTGTTGCCGACATTTTAGGGGAATCATTTTTTTAATCTAAAATGTATCTCGCTAATGCTAAAAGTTTTTATGTTTTTAAATTGATTAAATTTAGGTAAATAAACCAAATAAAGTCTTACGTAGATAAAAATTTGATTGCAATTTTATTAAACTAAGAAATTTAAGTTTTCTTATGAAAACGCACGTGTATGGTATGAGATCTCATTGCGTGCATGTTATTGTTAAATGTCATTTACAAGGAATGTTGACGGTGCGATTTTTAACGTTTACTGACATGGCCGTAGAAAAAATAGTAATGATTATTCGAGTAAGCGAATAACCAACAATGTTAAGGTTAACATTTTATGTCTAACAAAAAGTGGCTTTCATTACTCGAGATTGGTCACTCTACATAAACTAAACAGATAAAAAACAGTATTGAACAAATCACGGTTACCACGTCACCTAAAATACAATTTCATATTTTAAATGGGACTCAACTAAAGCGTAATGTATACATTTAGTTGATATAAAACCTTTCTGATTCATGAACATCCAGAAGAAAGTTTTTTTGTTTAGCAATTATTGTCTAAATTGTTGCCATAAGTTTTTTTATGACTTCATATTTGGTAGGACACATTTAAGGGTTAGCATTTTAGTTTTTTCCATATTTAAATACAATTAGTGGCCTATAGCACCATGCTTTTCTTAATATCATAAGATATTGCGTTATAAAGAAGATCAGATTAGAGATAGAACCGACATTGTTGATTGAGGAAGATTTATTTATAGAAGTGTCATTATAACCAACAGGCTTTTGGTTTTTATTATCCGAACATACTATTATTTTAAAACTTGTAGAGTCTAGAGTAAAGGTGTAGTTAACATGCGTATATTTGAAATTATCTAAAGGATCAATAGGAG